CATACATAGCCAGGATTTGCAAATTTTGCAAAAAAGCGAGTTTTGCGAATTTTACAATATTTACAATTTCCTCTCTTACCTGGCTGGGGTTCTGGTACAACGTCGACCTCAATGTCTGAGAGTCTCAAGGCCGAAGCAACGAACAGCTTTTGTCAAATGCGTGCCAACTGCTCTCCGTCGTATACTCTCCTGTACCAATTCCATACTTAGGTTTTTTTGGAAAATTCTCCCTCTGGTTGTTGACTTTGTAAATTACAAATGCATTAATTGCTGTGAGATTAAGGAGATTATAAACTACTACCATTGGCCAACGTTTCGTATTTCTGGAAACATTATATGATGTGATCGTTCTGTCTACAACATCTACTCCACTCTTTGTGGAATTATAAACAATAATTATTTCTGATTTTTTCTGATCACCAGTATCTTCATCAATCCGATTATCTCTATGTACAGTGGAAACAGCAATCACACTTTTTCCTTTCTTCGGTATATATGATATGGAATTCATATCGTTGCTAAATGAAAAAACTGAAGAATATACCTGCCTATTTTTAATTTGCGTTATTTCTGCAGGTTTCTGCCAAAACTGAATATAAACGCTGGAGCTGTTTCGTGTGAAAAGAACTTTAGATTTAATTTTACATTATATAAATAAATATATAGACTTTATTTCAAGTAGATATTTCAGAAAAAGAGTTGCTAAACAAACTGATAAAACAGAACTAAAATCATTTTTGGGACTTTTGTATTTAGCAGGCCTACACAGCAGTAATCGACTAATTTTGGAAAATTTATGGGCAACAGATGGTAGTGGAATTGAATTATTTAGACTTACGATGTCAATGCGAAAATTCAAATTTATTCACAACTATATAAGATCGACCAGATCGAATAAAGATTGATTAGTTTTCAGCTGTTAGACAAATCTTATCACTAATTGTAGAAAATTGCAAAAAGGGGACTGTGGACAAAACGTAACTATAGACGAGATATTCGCAAGCTTTCGGGGCACATGCGGAGTTAGGCAATATATTTAATCAAAACCTAACAAATATGGGATTACAATCTTTTTGATGGTTGAATCTAAGCTATTTGACACAGGCGATATGGAAATTTATATATATATATATATTATATATATATATATATATATATTATATATATATATATATATATATATATATATATATATAATATATATATATATATAAATGTATATATAACAAGCGAGTCTTCTACAGCTGGCGCCGCTTCACGCATCCCAATTTCCAGCGTTTTCTGTCGAAGCAATCTTCAGTTGTTAGATCTCTATTGGTCATTACATCGTCGACATCGTCTTTCCAGGATCGTCTTGGTCTACCTCGTTTTCTTCTAGTTGGCGGAGTCCATTCTTCTATTTTTTTTGCCATCTCTTTTCAGGCATTCTCTGAAGGGGTTCATACCAGTTAAGTCTTATGGCTTCGATTGTGTCTATTATGTCTAGATCGATTTCCATTTCTCTCCCAATATCTTCGTTTCTCACCCTATCAAGTCTAGTGAGCTGGCGACATCGTCTCCAGTAGTTTATTTCCATGGCCTTAATTTTTGATTAGTTTTCAATACTTTGTATTATTGTTTTATAAATTCTTCTTTTATTTTCTTTTGTTATTTTTTATTTCATAATAGTCCGTGTAGCTGTCTGGTGGCTGATCTTGCTTAGCCAATCCTGGAATGTATTTCTTCGGTACTTCCTGCTTTTGATGTTAATTGGACATTTTGGTTGTTCTTAAATACTAGAAGTATTTAAAATTGTCTGTTGGTTTTATAGCTCCCATTTCGATTTGTATGATTTCTGGTTTTTCTCCTACAATTAAGTACTCAATTATTTGTATATTAATTGTGAGGCCTCATTTGGTGTACTCATCGTCCAGTTTTCTAAGCATGTAGCCCCTACATCACTCTCGTCTTCAGCTAGAATGGCTTGGTCGTCAGCGAAGTGTATCGTGTACAATCTATTATTTCCGATTGGGATGCCCATATTACAGCACTTTATTCTCCACTGACCATTTCGTGTCAGCAATAAACCAGTAGATGTGGTCAAGAGATTGCTAAACTTACCTATATTTCAGGACGAAATATCACTGCTGATAATTGGTTCACCGATTTAACTCTCGTCAGTGATTTGAAAAAGAACAGTTTCTACTTTCGTACTGGATACGAAGATAACTCTGTAGACGTTGTAAATTAATAACGTCAAAATATATAAAGGGCTCGCTCCCTTAAAAACTATATCCATTACTAAGTTGAAATTATCCCAAATGCTATTGTTGTCTAGGTTAATTCAGAAAATAATTTCTTTGTATGAAAAAGCAGTTTCACAGTTTCTGTGAAAAATATGGACTACAAATGAATATAACAAAGACCAAATACATGATAATAACAAAGAACACAAATATACCAACAAACATACATTTGGGAAATCTACCGATAGAAAGGTTTAATAAATACAAATATCCTAGGAACCTGGATTTCAGACAATAATGATCAAACAACCAAAATAAGAGCTAGGATAGAAATAGTAAGAAATGCGTATTGTAAAAATGGAAACAATTCTCTGCAACAAAGATTTTAGATTAGAACTGAGAGTACAGAGCACTTAGATGATACGTGTTTTCGATACTGCAATATTGACTTAAAAGCTGAACATTGAAGCAAAGAACAGATAAATAAGTTACAGTCCTTTGAAATGTGGTGTTACAGGAGAATGCTTAGAATAGCATGGACCCAAAAGAAAACTAACACGGAAGTATTGCGAGAAATGGGCAAAGAATGCGAAATAATAAACACAATAAAAATAAAAAAGTTACAATAGTATCTGTTACACGTAATAAGGGAACAGTCGATATGAACTGCTAAGGCTGATAATACAGGGAAAAGATAAGAGGAGGAAGGAGTATAGGAAGAAAAAGAGTGGCATGGTTGAAGAACTTAAGGGACTGGTTTAAATGCAGTTCCATAGAACTCTTTAGAGCAAGCAGTAGATAGTGATAATGATAAAGATAGTGATAATGATATCCAAGCTCCGATTGGGAGACGGCACTTAAAGAAGGAGAAGTATGAAAAAACGCATTCAATTTTTATCTGTAAATTTATGGACTGATTCTAAGATCGCCCTATACTGTCTTAATTCTTTCGCATTTCGTTGAAACACTTAACTAACAATTTCAATTGTAGATATATCAGTTCACATGATAATGCCTCTGATTGTCTCGCTCGTGGTCTAATAGCAAAGAAATTTTTAACTCACCTATTTAGTGGAATCCCCAGATTTTTATTTAAACCCCATTTACTTTTGTCAATTCACGAATCTCACATTCAAAAGATATACGGCCCAAGAATAAAGGGTAATATTAACAACCCACGCTACTATTAGTGTGGTTCAGAAAACAATTTTTGCAACAAGTAATTCTCTAGATTTTCTTCATCCATCCAACGGCACTACGAGCCCAAATCGGGCCTTGGCCTCCTTCAACAAGCTTCTCCAATCATTTCGATTTACTGCTGTTCTTTTCCATGAACGCGTTTCCAGGCAGTTAAATTAAGAGATTCATTTAAAATTAAATGAATCCCATTCGAAAATTCTGAAATGATCTTAAGACAGATGAATTGTTCTTATTTACTTTTTTTATTCTAAAAGCCATGTAAGGTGTGTACTTCTCTAAAGATGCTATACTTTGTCCACTATTTACTACTTAAAAGATAAAAATATTTAGTTCATTATACATGAAAAGTACTGTCTAAAAACAGGCAGTTTAATATTGTACTTACATTAAATTTTCAGTTTACCAGACGGCTTTCAAGCACTATCTCTTTCTAGAACTAATCCCGGCGCCTGTCGTAAAACCACAATGTATTATCTTGGCAACACCGCCGCTGCTTTCAATTAGACCAACAAGCAGTACGCCAGAAGTTTACTTCTATCCGGCCTTTTCCTTATCACTGGATATATAAGATTAAGCTTTCCAGTTATATCACTAATTGAAACTGGACTCGATGCTCTCTTATCTTATCTTTATCCTTGGCCATCTAGAACACGACACCCGCTCTGCTGTGCAGAGATTTCGATGCCGGTTGCTTCGGCGTTGGCGACGATGTAGTTGCCGCAATTTCGAAGTTTATTTTTAGAGGAAAACTCTAAAGGATATAGGAATGTTTTTTTTAAGATTACGTGTGTAAATTTTTCTGTAATATGTAAATATTATTTTAATTGTCTTTGGATACATTTATTTTAGGACTGTAAAAATTGTCATGTATAATAATAATAATGTAACTTCGAAAACACTACACAGTTGAAGTTTGTAACGATTATTTGATGTCTCTGAAGTGATGAGATTGACCATGGTAATGACACAAACAAGTAAGTAAGTGCCAAAAATACCAGAACAAGAGCTAGGCCAATTAGATAATAATGAAGAGGGTATACAATATTAAGTATTACTACAGCCACTTCCACCGGCAAGCCCATCATTCATCAAGGAAAACGAGCAATTTATGCTATCGTCATCGAAACATTGGATTTTCAGCTGAGATATCCAAAGTCATCGATGACCTACTATCTAAAAAACTAACATTAAATCAACCAGATTTAGCTAATGTTAGACAGGGGTTCATGTGCTACCATTGCAGCATCATTTTTTAGAACAAAAAGGTTTTGAGACAGCACATATCGAAGTGTCATATGATTTTGGAGCTTTCAGAATCTGATGATGCTTTGAGTTTGACAAATAAAACTGAATATTTATTAACAAAAAAGAAAACTGACAAATAAGGCTACAACTAAAAAGGAACGAGAAGAAAGAAAGTGTTTAAGGGGTGCTGTAAAACCCTACAGAAATTTAAAGTGAAAAGAAGTGAAAAAGAAAGAAAGGCAAAATTTTGTGTGTACCAAATGCTTTCTTAAGTGGAGTGACAAATTTTCCGAATCTGAGAAAAAATGACATTTCTTTCAGTTTTGGAAAATGGAAGAAGATGACCGTTATCAAGACCGACAACGACAGTTTGTTGCTAATCATGTAGTTGAAAGTGAACCTAGTAGACGACGAGGTAATCCTGCATCCAGAAAAAAACGCAGTCTTCACTACGATTTAGAGAAACACTCAGAGCCCGTTAGTGTTTGTCGTTTATTTTTCCTGTCAGTTTTGTCCGTAACAGAAAAAATTGTTCGGAACTGTCTGGAAAAAATGAGCGTTGCTGGAATTGTATCGACTGACCAAAGAGGGAAAGCCTCGACTGTGAACAAAATACCAGCCTGGATTGAAAAACACGCCCGTCAGCATATTCAATCCATACCAAAAGTAGAATCCCACTACTGCAGAAAGTCCAGCAATAAACTCTACCTTCCTTTACAACCCAAACTTGAAAAGTTGTATGCTTTATATCTTAAACAATGTAGGAAGATAGCTCAAAAACCACTATACAAAATGAGAAAACTAAATTCAAACAATAAAAAAGCATTGTTAAACCTGTTTCCAAATCCATATACAAAAGCCTATTTCTACTCCCATGGAAACCTGCGCTTTCATAAGCCTAAAAAGGATCAATGCAGTACTTGTAATCATTACAAATCACTGACCCTAAATGAAACGGAATCGGAGGAAAGATGAATATGAAAGACATTTGAAGAACAAACAGACAGACCGTGAACTTAAAAACACAAAAAGAGAAAGACAGTGAAAATACTAATTAAAAGAAAGCTGTCATAAACTTTGACCTCCAAGTTGTGTTAGAATGTCCTAATGGGGAGATATCCTCGATATTTTACAAACGAAAACTTGCTGTATTTGACCTCACATTTTATCTGGTGACTAAAGAAGGAACTTGCAACCTATGGGAGGATACACAAAGGAAATAGAGAGGTAATTTAAATCAATATTTTGCAACTGAATTGTTACATGCTGTCATATGTACGAATCGCAAGTAATCGATCACATATTTTATGAACCAGGGCACTCTTAGCAAGAAGGTGATTCAATGCATTCAACAATTGAAAGGGCATCAAAGAATGTACAAATTAATGTACCGTCAGAATGGCATATTATTTTTGTCAGACTGCAAAAAAGACACCAAAGCCTTACAATAATTTTTATTTGGATTATTTATCTTTTAAAGCACAAGTGGTGTAACTCCATTTTCCGTTAATTTTAGTTAAGGTCTAAATCGTGTTCCGCAACAAGTATTTTATTTTAGCACAAATGGTGTAAGTTAATAACTCATATAGTAACCATGTAGATAGGCAACACATTTTGCATTGTCAGTGGAGTCAACTATCTGTTGACAGCCAAAGTGAAGTACAAGGGATATACACCACTGTTCCTGCAACTGTTTTTGTTTTCACAGGTGTTTGTGGATGTTAGTTTTTGATACATTAAGTTTCATTTGCATATTTAATTGTGTTTAGTGTAGTTTAAAATGAGTTTTTTTGATGAAGATAGTCTCTCAGAGCCAAGTCTATTCGCTGATAATGAGTCTGGCGATGAATATTTTCCAACACATTCCGATCAATCAAGTACAGGTAAGAGGTTATGTCATTTTTTTTCAATAAAATTAATCTAGCGTTAAGTTAAAAGTTGTTTTTAATAAAATGTTTTATTGAATCCAATTCGTATCCAGGCGCAAACTCGATAATAAGTAATAAAACACTTTTATAACATATAAACTAAAATGAAGTTACATCAACATTTTTTTTTATTTTATTTCAGAAGATGAGAGGGGATTTGATAACAATGGAGCAGAACCAATTGACAATGCAGCGGAAGAAGATAAGCCTAAACGATGTCGGAAAAGGCAAATTAATGAAAACAAAAAAGAACAGAGAAAAAGACAAAGAAACTGTGGGCAATCGTACACAACAAGAACAGAAAAAGTGGTTGCACAAAAAGTATTCAGTAATCCTGATTGCAATTGTCGAAAAAGGTGTTTTCATAATATCCCAGAGCAATCCCGAAAAAATGTATTTGAGTCGTTTTGGAAGATGGGATCTTTCGTCGCTCAAAACGCATTTCTGTGTGGTCTAATAAAACAAGAGACGCCAAAACGTTGCCGCCCGACCACAAGTGTTAAAAATAAAAAATCTGCCACTAATTTATATCACATTAATATTGCTGGAAAAACTGAGACCGTGTGCAAAAATATTTTTTGCAGACTTTTAAAATTTCTGATGGTAGGATGACTCGAGCCATGAAAAAGTTATCCCTTGGATTTTCCGCTGGTGAAGATAAGAGGGGCAAAAAAATTCCTGGTAATAAAACATCCGAGGAAAAAATGTTAGAAATACGGAATCACATAGCATCCTTCCCTTGTTATCAATCGCATTATACCAGATCCCACAATCCAAATAGAAAATATTTGTCAGAAGATTTAAATATTCGACTGCTGTACAATTTATACAAAGATAAAGTTCATAGCGAAGGTAAGGAACCTGTGGCAGAGCACGTTTATCGTAGAGAACTTTTAATAACGAGTTCAACTTACATTTTCATGCACCTCACAAGGATACTTGTATAAAATGCGATATTTTTAATAATAAACTCAAACAATCACCAGAAGAACACGAAAAATCAAAACTTCTGCAGGACCATGAACTTCATCTACGCAAAGCTGATAAAGCTCGAGAATCAATGAAATTGGATACAGAAAAATCAGCTTCTAATAGATCCTACTATGCCTTTTCTTTTGACTTAGAAAAGTCTTTATCTTTCACGTCTAACATGTCAAATGGCCTACTATAAACGTAATTTGTACGTCTACAATTTAGGTTGCCATGAGCTTTCAACAAAAAAGGGATTCATGTATTGTTGGGATGAAGTAACTGGATCTAGAGGTTCGCAAGAAATTGGCGCTTGCTTAGTCAAACACATACAAACACGAGCGTCAGAAGCAAAACATGTTGTTATGTATAGCGATACGTGTACCGGTCAAAACAGGAACTGGAAAATAGCCCTAACATTATTAAAACTGGTGTTAAGTGAAGACAACAATATTGAAATCATAGACCAAAAATTTATGCAAAGTGGTCATTCCTTTCTTCCCAATGACTGTGATTTTGCTTCTATCGAGAATTACAGCAAAACGCAACAAACTTTTTGTCCCACTGATTGGTACAGTATTATTGCCAAGTCAAGGAAGAAAAATCCTTTCAGGTTACCGTTATGACGAATAATGATTTTTTGTCTGTGGACACATTGTTGAAGTCAATCACTAAAAGAAAGAATGACACGGAAAAACACGCAGTATCATGGTTAAAAATGCAGTGGATTCGATACCAAAAGAGTACTCCATTCACATTACTCTTTAAGGAAACTCTTTCGGATGAAATGGCATTCTTTGAGCTAGACCTAAAGCCGGGATCTAAAAAAGGACGACCAGGATCTTTAGCTAATATAGATCAACCAAAACTATACAGTGGACCTCGACCTATGACCAAAGAGAAGAAAAATGATATGAAAAGACCTTTTCCCTTTTATTCCACCCATTCATCATCCTTATTTTGAGAATCTGTTTACTTCAGAAGATGCTCATGACATAGGGCCACTGCAGGTAGATGTCAATATTGAAGATGAGTAAAAACTATATAAGTTAAGTGTTGTTAATTGCAATATTAAATGTATGTTAAATAAAATGTTTACTTTTTAACAAACCTTTCTTAATACATTTACGAAAAAAAAATATTATATTCCCGAACTTTTATAACAATATTAAATGTATGTTAAATAAAATGGTCATATTTTTATCAGTAATAATTAAAACAAACCTTTCTTAATACATTTTCAAAAGAAAAAACTTAAATATCATATTCCTGAATTTTTTATAACAATTGCAGTAAAACATTACATAACTCAAAACAAGGTTAATGTGAGTTACACCACTTGTGCTTTAAGGGGCTCATAGATTGGAAAGAATTGGCTATACCCAACAAAAAAATAAGGTATAAAACTGTAACTAAGGACTTAGTCAGCTCGAAAAAAAAAACAAATGGTTCATGTTTTTGAAAGTTAAACCTGATTCTATTTTTTTCAAGTACGAATACAATGATAAGAGTTTTAAAGAAATCACAAGTCTAAGAAATGTGAGAAGGACCTCTACAATTGAACTTACTCTCTAAGGCGTACCGCAGTCGGTTGTTCATAACAGTCACTAAACACAAGGCACTCATGGACCTGTATACGGTCAGAGTTATCCTTGTATACCATCTAAAATACTTTGAGGACATACCAAAAGGTGACATTACGATGTGGTAAAAGGAGGAATGTTAACACAACAAGAAAATATTCAGCTGACCAGAAAGAAGAATCATCGTCTCAGACAAAAATCAAATCATCATGTCAAAAGAAAAAGTGAAAAATGAACAATCTGTACATGACTTTTTATATTTTCTCACCAATGATTTTGCATGTCAACAACCTGTCCTGCTCAACTGTTTTTGACAACTTGTCACTATAATCGGAGAATACAGTAAGCGAATGGGATTAGAGATTAATACCAAAAAGACCAAATTTATGATCATCTCCCGAAACTTAGATGCACTTGAAAACTCCACCATAATACTAAATACTAAGTCCATTGAAAGAGTGAGTAAATTTAAATAACTGGGGTCGTGGCTTTTTGAAGACTGGGCATCGGACAGGGAAGTAAAATGTCGCATTGAGCAAGCTCGAACAAGTTTCGTAAAATTCAAGAAAGTACTGACTTGTTCAGAGTTTGATCTTCAACTAAGACTAAGGTTTACTAAGTGCTACGTATGGTCAGTGCTGCTATATGGCGTAGAGGGCTGGACACTCAAAAGGAGGGATATAAACAGATTAGAAGCTTTCGAAATGTGGCTTTATCGCCGTTTCCTAAAAACACCATGGACAGCGAGAATAACAAAATATAGATGTCCTTAAAAGAAATAAACCAAGAACGCCAACTTTTCGAAACCATCAAGAAAAGGAAAGCGGCGTATCTAGGTCACATCATGCGAAATGAAAAATACCAGTTCTCCAACTTATAATCGAGGGTAAAATTGAAGGCAAGAGAGGAATGGGACGCAAGAAAATGTCCTGGCTCCGAATCATTAAGGCAATGGACAAGGATTAACGACATACAATCTCTGATACATATTGCAAGAAATAGAGAATTAATAGAAAATGTAATCGCTAACATCCATTAGTGGATTGCATCTGAAGAAGAAGAAGAAATGATTTTGCTTTTTAATTTATATGTAAAGAACTCAAAATTGTAATAAAAAAATATAGTATTAAGCTATTTTTCCTTCTAATTCCTTCTAATTCCCGCTAATTCCTTTCTAAATATACTTTTTTTATATTGTACAAATAACGTGCTAATGGGCCAAAAAACCATCATTGATTAGTTTTGGGGTATGTAAAAAGGGCGAATAGGTTACATTTAGCAATACAAATATTATTATCACTTACAGGCTTTACTAGAAATCTTAAAACTTAAAGAATACAAAAATGACATGTTTACACTATTGAAATAAAAAATATAGCTTATTTGAATAATATTTAATAATTTTCCTGAGGGTCTAAACCTTAGAAAGAGCTCTCTGAAAAATTGACATTTAGTGAATTCGCGCATTTTCCATAACTCCGACGATATAATTATA